CCCTATTCTTGCTTAGTGGAGTGAGCGAGTAGGGTTAACACCGCTTTAACAGTTCTTCCGTGTTATAACGGGGTGCCAGCTTGATGTGCGAGGAAAGCCACGGGTGATAGATGTCTCAGGCGTTTACCGTTACAGCGATATCCATGGGAACGGGCACGCATGGTGTCGACTAGACTAACAACTAGTTTCTGAAATGAACATATTTTACTGGAAAAAAAATCATAGTAAAAAAAAAATATATATAATGAAAAGGAGCCCTGAGACTTTCTTCAAGCTGAGGAAATCTAGACTTGCCAAATTTTCTAGACTTGCGTTGGGCTTTCTTGGATATATTTGCTTCAGGGTCTGTATGACAGACTAGGTGTCGACAAACCAATGAGGATCAGCATCTAAGCGAAAGTGGGATTCGAACCCCCAAATATCAGCACAGATAGTACATTTTACTAAAGAAGTAAATGTTTCATTGTCATTAAGGGAATTCCCGAACAAATATTATGTTTCCCCTATAGGTATTTCAATTTCCTGTCCTTTCAGTGTGAATTATCATTTAATCAATGCTCCTTTCGTTCAATCAAAAAATTGGGGAGGTGGGGTAGCCCAGTGGTTAAAGCGTTCGTCATGCCAAAATACCAGGGTTGGGTTGCCTACATCGGTACAGTATGTGAAGTTCATTTCTGGTGTTCCCCGCCGTGATATTGCTGGAATATTGCTTAAAAACATCACTCACTCATTCAACCAACCATGAAAAATATTTATCAAGCATTCTATCCATCATAATATCAGTAAGCCGTCCATTAACTTAGCGACCGCCTCCGTGGTGTAGTGGCTAGAGCGTCCGCCCAGAGAGCGGAAGGTCGCGGGTTCGATCCCCGGCCGCGTCATACCAAAAGACGTTATTAATTTATATGGTACCAGCTTAAGTCTGCATGGGCTAGTACAAGCCACACGCATGCACGTCGTCATATGAGCGAAATATTCTTACGTGCTACGTTCACCTCACCTCACAGTAACAAGACAGGAATTCACTATGCAGAGTTGCGTCCCTTAACAGTGGCAGTATCAGCTGTTCTTGACGGCGGATTGTGATTGCAAGATCATGTATCTTTATATATCTGCACAATACATATAACAAATATGAAATACTGCCAAGCGGAGTTAAAGTTAAACCGAGCTCACTTCATGTAAATGTTTCGTTACCAACGCTACAGCCGACATATTCTAATGACACGCGTATGGACTTGTCCATAGTGTTGGCTGCATGAAGTTTACAGATGTCTATATTCTTGTGATAAGATGGAAAGGAACGCAGGCTCCTTGAAGTCTCGGGGACGAACGTGAGAAATACCGAGATCACATGTTTTCCGTCTGTCAGATTGTCGTCTGCCAAGCGGCGCAGGACAGCAGGGAGTCATGAGCGCTTTGTCATGTTCGACTTAGTTGTTTTTTGTCGAGGACGCAATCAGCACATTCTCCTGGATGTAATGACAGCTGAGTGACGTTACTTCACACCAAAATAGCCGAACAAACACTGTGTTTTGAATCACCGGTTCATTAAAGGAGGTGGTCGCTGCGAGTCCAGAAGTTAGCAGAACTACACTTTCAAAGGGATGCGTCAAGTGTCTGATTGAATCAAGTGTCTGACTGCCTCACTGACACACATTAAATGCGGGACTTCGAGGTATGTTTATGTGTCTATGTTGATTGTTGGATTTGATACGAGAGGAAAGTCTTAATGTCGTAACAAGAGACCTTTACGCCATACAATTAAAACATTCAAAAGACTTAGCTAACACATGTCATCGTATCCAAGATGCGTGTTGTCAGTCAATGGATTGCCATGTCCAGACTGCGGCCTTATAACAACAGGACCCGGTTGTATCAAACTTTAATAAAGCTTTAATCGTTAATTAAACTATGATTAGTTAATCATTGATTATCTTCAGTTGCATGAAACCCTTAATAAAGGAATCCCTTCATTAACCCATCATTAAGCTAATGAAGGTTTGGGGGTATCATTAACTCGTCATTAGCTGTGTCAACATGGCATGGACCTCTACACTTTGAGCTTCTGAAAATAGATAGGATTTTTGGTTGTTGTTTTATAAATTAGATATAAAATATGCCACCCTTCCACAAAGTCATTGAAATAAAAGAAAAATGACAAATGCAAATACGGACCCGAGCCAAAAATATTTGCCACTTAACTTAATTTCAATAGACTTACATGTGAATTTAGTGTAGAAAACACAATTTCTATTTAATTAATTCTGGTGGAATCGGAAAATTCTGTCGAAATTCTGTGGGTGTAGCTGAGATGATTACTGTGCTCACTTTAATTAGGACCCAAAGAAAATTAAATTCATGGAAAATATTTATGCTACACGAAATTAACATACCGTATAAGTCTCTGGAAGTTACATCACATTACTAATACTGTTGACACAGGCCTGTATTTCCTCAAGCGCTTTTTATTTGATGTAATTACATTACGAGTTTTCGATGATAATTCCCTGAAATATTCTAAATTTTAAAGCATAATTAATAATAACAGCAGCGTCAAATGCTTCTGTCTGTTACTAACTTTGCTATATTTTTGCACAACCTTTTTAATATTGTCGCTTCTTAAATATTTGCATTGTGAGAAACATAATATAATTGCCTTCATCTATGTTGCCCAGTTACATCGACGGGAACAACTCACTGTACCTCCTTAAAAGATCGTCGTCAACGGGTAGCAAGCGAATGTTCGAATGACGTCATGAAATTATCAACAACTCGTTCATCATTGTTATCAGCATTTTATTGTGTAGCACTCTTATATATTTTCACACAAACCTGTACACACACAGAATAGCAAATATTATGACAATGTCGAGTAACTCCAATCTGTATGTAAACGTAAGCATTATATGTACTCTAATACATCTATATCAATAAGGAGAGACTGAGTGAGTTAACTTTTACGCCGCACTCAGCAATATTCCAGCTATATGGCGGCGGTCTGTAAATAATCGAGTCTGGACCAGACAATCCAGTGATCAACAGCATGAGCATCGATCTGCGCAATTGGGAACCGATGACATGTGTCAACCAAGTCAGCGAGCCTGACCACCCGATCCCGTTAGTCGTCTCTTACGACAAGCATGGGTTACTGAAGACCAGTTCTAACCCGGGCCTTCACGGGTCCTATCAATAAGGAATCCCCAATACTGTGTGACATGCTGGCGGTGTAGGAGTATGTAAACAATCGCGGTAGAATACATGGGTGAGTAGGCAAACAGTCAACGTGTGTGATAACTTGACCAGTAGGGGATGTTCATTGAACAACGAAGCCGAATCTACCTCCCGATGTCAATTTGAGAGGGTCTTGTCAATGACCATCGTGTCTGCAGTAACCTGATCCAAACACTGCAAATTACAGACTGAGACACACTGAACATATTTGCCAGTTTGAACCATGTCAGACACACGTTATCTGTCCATCACGTTGTAGACGACCGATTCCCAGTTTAAATATTTATAGAAACAAGAAAAACAACACGAACATAACACCTACTTACGTGTGTCAAGTACATGACACGTGTCAAATGTACTAGATTTAGAAACAAGACAAACACATTGAGTGGGAAAACATCTTAGCGAAAGACATGAAATTAGCACAAAGGAAACAACGCACTTCTGTATGAAACTTGAAGGTGCCTCTGAGTAACAACCTCAAAAATAATACAACAAAAGCATACGTTTCAAAACTTCCTAAACGTTTTGTCAACAAGTAAGATTCAACTTCCGGTTGAGTTGCCAGCATGAGCGGACGCTAATCGTGTCGCTCCTCACCAATCCACTCAATCCTATGCTAAAATGCCTGCCAACAACAGAAAAAAACAAAGTAAACCGGAAAACAGGTCACAGTCAAACTCACCAGCTACCAATTTGGACGATTTTGTGGTTACGAGGACAAGGGCAACCGCGGCAAGAAACCCACAGTTTGAAAACGAAGGCGCCATTATGGCGGACCCTGACACGCCGACTGAGTTTGATCTCAAAGCATGGATAACACAAGCACTGCAAAGCCAAACAAGCGAGATAATCGAGAAGATGAACACAATAAATACTGACATTCAAGAGTTACAAAAGAAAACTGAAGAAATACTACAAACAGTTGAGTTTAACGCTTGTAAAATTAAGAGCAATGCAGAAGAAATAAGGAAAAATAAAGACACAATTCTTGAAATGCAGCGAGAATTTGAGTCGAAGCTACTACTGCAAGAACTGTATTCACGCAAGAATAATCTCCTTGTCTACGGGGTGGCGGACGGGTTGGACCCTGAGAAGGCCGTACGCGAGGTTTTCGCGTCACTCGGTGTGGAAGGAGCCGACAACATGCTACTGGTAAATGTGCATCGTCTGCCAAGGAAAAGCACAGACCCCACGAACTTTCGGGCGAATATGCCGAAACCTATTATCGTCAAATTTGTACTAGCTGCCGACAGACAAAAAGCGTACCTTGCGTCTCTGAAGAACAAGAAGGCACTGAGAGAGAAGAAAATAAGTGTTCGAACGGACCTTCCAGTCCCACTCAAAAAGCAACGCGGACGACTGGCTAACAAAGCGTTTGAACAGGCTTGTTTATACGGCGAAAATATGCAAATTTGCATACATGAGTAAATTTACATAGGGAGTGTAATTTGCTAGGGTGAGCAATTTGCTATGCGTTCATACGGACTTTAGGCAAAGCGGTAGTAAATCTTGATAATAGTTCATTTCTGCACTAGCAATGGATGGAGTAAGACGTGAGATAACAAGAAGGTATAGGCATTTCCCATATTACATCAGTGTTGGTCTGATACTGGGATGTTCCCATGATCGAACTTCTAGAAGAAAGCCAAGATCAAGTCATTGGTATACGGAAGTTGTTGGCAAACATTTCACTGATGCCGAATGGTTAAAAAGTTTTAGAATGCGAAGAGAAACATATGAATTGATCTGCACTCGACTAAACGATGAGCTCTCCCTCTGAAGATACAGTTGAGGAACCATTGGATGTGAAGAAAAAGGTTGCTATAACAATCTATTGGATGGCTTTCTCCGCAGAATATAGAACCGTGGCCAACCTTTTTGGTGTCGGGAAGGCAACCGTATGTATCTGCGTCCATCAAGTGTGTGAAGCCATCATGAAACTTCTCCTGACTGAATACGTCAGGTTCCCCCAGGGAGACGCATTGAAGGATGTTATCAGGGGCTATGAGGAGCGTCGGGGATTTCCAAACTGTGTAGGATCTATAGATGGCAGTCACATCCCTATCATAGCTCCTAAATATTCACACGGTGACTACCTGAACAGGAAAGGTTTCTATTCTCTTATCCTTCAAGGGGTATGTGACCACAACCAGATGTTTACACACATCAATATTGGCTGGCCAGGCAGAGTGCATGACGCCCGTGTCTTTGTGAACTCAGACATTTATTTCCTTGGTGATGATGGTTCTCTCTTACCAAACTGGTCGAAGAACATCGGAAATACACAGATGCCCTTGGTGCTCCTTGGTTATGCAGCATACCCCTTAAAGTCATGGTTATTGAAGCCCTACACTGGCAGAGCTAACCTCACTCCAGCTCAGAGTACCTTCAACTATCGACTCAGCGGTGCCAGGATGACGATTGAAAACGCGTTTGGTCGCTTGAAGGGACGCTGGCGGTGTTTGCAGAAGAGGATGGACGTTGACGTCGAATTTGCCTGCACGGTAATTACATGCTGTGTTGTCCTCCACAACATTTGCGAGAGTGTACGTGACCTCTACAGGGAGGATTGGGACGCCGAAGAAGACGAAAAAGAAAATGACTACCAACTGGATGTACAGGATGGGGGCGACGAAGGGATCCAATGTGCGAAAGCTCTGCCTGATGAAATCGCGCTGGCTTTCTGCAACGATGTGTTTTAAAGACATTATTCATTTGTGAAGACATTTACTTTGAGTAAACCATGTATAGTTCATATTGGTGATTATTGTAAACATTTACACTTGTAAATGCACGTGTTTCAAAATTCAAATTAAAGTATTTTGTGAAGATGTAAGCAATCCTTTCTTTTATGTCAACACATCAATACAATATTGCAACACATTGACCATAACCTCAGAGAACAATTTGACGTTTTGCATTAGCTATAATACACACTTTCGATAGCCTCAAAACCAGGATCAAGATTTTCGAAACGGTAAGATACGCAAACATTTGACGTTATAAGTGAATGACAAGTCATGGTTTCAACAACATTATCCTCAAAGCTGTAAGGATAATTACGAGTGCTTTCAGTAATTATTCAAAGCTGGTAACAGAGGGTGAAAACCATGCTTTTTCTTTTCGGAAAAAGTGAAATGTGCACTAAATCTAAAAATCCTTTATTCATAAGAGAAGATGAATTATTACAAGACTTATATCTAGATGCTGTCTAGATTGCTCAAATGAACATTGTGATTACAGCAGCACTAAGAATATGGCTGGACAAACACCAGAACGGAAACGTCTCAAGACACAAACTGGAACTAACTCGAAGGATGAAATGGAAACAAAACGCCAATGAACTTCGTGGCGGTTGATGAGAACACAGAATTGAGCAATAGTTAAAATAATCATGAATGTATCATTTATAGTCTTGTGTCATTCATGAAGTCTACAATTGTAGAAACTTGTTCCGTCTTCAGTATCAGTTATCCAAGAATCGTCATTTGAAGATTGTTGGTTGACTGTCGAGGAATAGCGTGATGAAGGGCCCGGACCTCTTACCGTTTCACCTCCATCATACTGAGCTGTACGACCCGTGCTGTATGGGACAGGTGGGGGCTGTTGTCCTGTCCTCCGTTCAGCTCTCATAATCATATTCATCATGTTGAATTGGTGCTGTCTCTCTTCACGCTTCTGTCTTTCATCTGATTCGATCTTGGCTTTCTCGACATCAAGCTTTTGGCGTTCAAGTTCTATTTTCTGGCGTTCAAGGTCAAGAACCTTATCATCAGCTCTCTCGTTTGCTGCACTAAATCCATTCATCACAGATTTCAGTGGTACTTCCATCCTCGTCTTCCGAGCTCTTTTCTTCTCGCTTTTCACCTTTTCACTTTCCCCTTCAGTGGATTCCTTTCTTTTATTCTTTCTGCTTTCCGTGTCAGATGCATCCTTTTCATCCCTTTCAGTTTCATTATCAGCAAGAGGTGTAATGTCAGCACAACTCTCACCAACAGCCTGTGTGTTTGCCTGTGCTGTATCATCAGGTTCACAAGAATCCCCTCCTTCATCTTCGACTTTCTTGGTCAATGTATCTATAACCTTCAGAGGCGACGAGGCTGGTCTGGTACCAAGAATGGCGTCCAGTTCTTCAAAAAACTTACAAAGTTTCCTTCCCTTTCCACTTTTCTTCAGGTTTGATTTACATACTCTGTGTGTCCTCTTTAAGGTATGGGTTCTCACTTTACTTGGTCAGATGTCCTGTTGAATCCTTTTGCACCCATTTCCGTCGCGACAGTATTGTACACCGAAACATTGTTGCTTTGGGGTTTTTCCAGTAATTCCTCTATACTGTTATCTTCCCATATTGCCAATAGGCATTTTGTTTCCTCGTCATTCCAAGCGGAACCGCGTCTTTTGGCACCGCGAGTTTCTTTCCGGTTTGCCATTGTCGTGTGTCTGTTTTTAATGGAAGCTAGACATCAACTGACAGATATGTGACCAATAAGGCGCGTAAAGTTTAGGCGGGAAACTACCAAAATAGCCATTATGAAATCGAGCGGGAAAAATACTCACCCTGAGTTAATTTGCTATGCGTCTATACGACCAGATTTGCTTAGGGTAGCAAAAAATAAGCATTTACTCACCGGTAGTAAAACATTTGCACCTGGTCTAGGCCAGGAGTATTTTTGCTTGGGGTAGTAAAATTTGCATATGTGTAATTGCGTTTATACGACCAAATATACTCATGTAAGCAAATTTACACATATGCAAAAAATAAACACATGTGCAAATGTCGCCGTTAAGGGACCACAAGCTACACACCCGAATTATGGAGCGGGGAGTCGATCTAACTCTCCAATACAGGAAGAATTCACAGGACGACTGGAAAAATATATCGTTGGAGGACACACTCAAACTGTGACTGTGAATTGCGACAACGTGTGACCAATAAGGACTAACAATTTTACTTTCAGTTAATAATACATAAACACGCGAAGAGCGTCACGGATTCAGTTTGTGTTGGGGGGAAAATCGCCAGTGTCTGTACAACAAGCGAACTTGATTCATGGAATAGATTATGCATGGAATGGATTTCCTCTTTCATGAACTGGAATATGAATTATTCTTGGATTTTTCAGGTAAATACTAATGACATTTAAACAGTATACCACATGTTAACTACTACAGTAACTCGGACGTTCTGCTAAAATTAATGTGCAGACAGCACCTATTATTACTAGACATGACATATAAATGTTTTGATATCTAACAAAGTATGAACTAAAATGTTATCTCATGGTTGATTAGTAACTTACCTAATAGCATTCAGAAATCATCCATAAAAGGAGATATTGCTGTGAAAATTACAAGCAGCAACTCGTGTTTTATCTCAATTGATGTCATAATACCTAGCTCCCGTAGTATGCAAGGTAATAAGCATACAAGGGAACGTCGATTATTCTTTGCGTTGAGACTAACTACCAGAGCAATTTCTTTCTCCACTATATATAGATGTATGTTGTGCAGATATGGTTATCTTTATTACAAAATGTCACTCCTCTACTCATTTGTGACTAATACAAACCATTCAGCAAAAGTCAAATCAGATATAGCTATCAACACTATAAACAACACCATGTGCATTTCTATTTATAGATTCGCACTTCCGGTGTATACGCGGATGTAAAGTTTACAACTGTGAACGTAACACTATCCTTTCATTAGATGAACTACTTGAGTAACCTAGTTCTATTACATGCTAACAGCATATTATATAATAACCCAAATTCTCGTTATGAAACGTTTGCTCAGGCTTAGTGTACATTTCTAGTTTTTGACACTGCAAGGAGTTTTGTGTATTTATGCGCAGTGAAGAGTTTATATCCGGATGTCTCCATACTCATAGAAACGTGGGAACATGTGGATGAAGGATAGAAATCTTGTGTAGAGACTACTAGAGCGATTTCCTTTCCTCTACATATAGAGGTACGTTATGCGGTGATGATTATCTTCATAACAAAGTGTCACTCCTCTACTCGTTTGTGACTGATACAAATCATTCAGCAAAATCGGATATAGTTATGAATAATGTAAACAACACCATGTGCTTTTCCATTTACGCAGAACTACTTGAATAACTTAGTTCTCCACTACATGTTGACAGCATTATACAATAATGGATACTCTCATCATGAAAGGTTACTTGCTCAGGCAGAGTGTACATTTCTATTTTTTTGACACTGCAAGGAGTGTATGTATTTTCGCGCAGTGAGGAGTTTATAACAGGATGTTTTGAGGTGTGAATATGTGGATGAACTTATGAAGCTCAGAAACCATCTGATTAATATTCACTATGTACTATGTAGTTTTTTTTGTTTTTTTTTATTTACTTACTTACACTTCCGTAGTATATGCGGATGTATAGTTTACAACCGTGAACGGAACATTATCCTTTTACTAGAGATGAACTACTTGAATAACTTAGTTCTCCACTACATGTGGACAGCATTATATAATAATGGATATTTTCATTATGAAAGGTTACTTGCTCAGGCAGAGTGTACATTTCTATTTTTTTTGACACTGCAAGGAGTGTATGTATCTTCTCGCAGTGTGGAGTTTATAACAGGATGTTTTGACATGTGAATATGTGGATGAAGCTCAGAAACCATCAGATTTATACTAATATTCACTAGGTACTATGTAATTTTCTATTTACGGATTCACACTTCCGTAGCATATGCGAATGTAAAGCTTACAACCGTGAACGTAACATTATCCTTTCACTAGATGAACTACTTGAGCAACTTAGTTCCCCAATACATGCTGACAGCATATTATATAATAATGGATATTTTCTTTATGAAAGGTTATTTGCTCAGGCAGAGCGTGCATTTTTATTTCTTGACAATGCAAGGAGTGTGTATACATTTGAGCAGTGAGGATCTTATAACAGGATGTTTTGATGTGTGAATATGTGGATGTACTATACTTCCACCGCTTTACAGCTAAGATCTCTACAGAATTCTGATCTTTTAGCGAGACTGACACTACAGGATCTACTGCATTTACTGTATTCTTGCAGTGGAATATTACTAGTGATTTGAACACTTAATTGATGTAACTCACTGTTTTAGTTGTGTATCAGCTTCGATAATACAATATCTGATATTACGCAAAATATACCCACGTAGTTGCATTATAACTAAACACTTCATGTCAATCCTCTTAAAAAGTAAAGAGTGTACCAAAGAAACCACAAAATTTTCCTGGTTTTCAGAAGCTGGAAGCACCTTTATACCCACAATTTTGAAATGTTTTATATTTTGTTATCATATACAGAATAACGAAAATTCCACAAAGCATGTTACTGACATATACACTTTCACAAATCCCATTCTATACCATTGTTACGACTACAAACCATTTGAATTAGAGATACTCCACATCTTTGAAAATGGCTGAAAAGGAAAAAAATTAAGATTATGTCTTTTAAACTGTAGGGGCTTAAACAATTCATTTTAAAGAAACAAGGTGTTCGATTCTTACGAAAAAAAAAAAAGCCCACATATATTGCTTACAAGATGTACACTTTACTAAAGAACAAGAACAAATCATTAAACAACAATGGGGCTACAATCAATGCTACATGACATCGTTTAAAAGTAATGCTAGAGGAACAGCTGTTTTATTTAATAATAACTTTGAATTTAAAGTTGAAGATGTGGTTGCCGATAATGAGTCAGGAAATTATGTAATATTAAAAGTAAATATATGTGAAAAATTCTACACAATAGCAAGCATATATGGCCCAAACCAAGATACGCCAGAAGTTTATGATACAATTAAAGATCATGTTGAACGCCTAGGAGGAACACAAACTATTTTATGCGGAGACTGGAATTTAGTACAAGACCCTAGAAAAGATACTTTTTAACTATAAAAATATTAACAACCCAAAGGCCAGAGAAAAATTATAGATCTGATATACGCTTTAGATTTAAAAGATCCATGGAGAGAAACAAACCCCTTCGAGAAAAGATTTACCTGGCGTCAACCTACTCCAATTAAACAAGCTCGACTAGATTATTTTCTGATCTCTCATAGTTTATTACAGAATGTTATCAAGTGTGACATAAGTCCAAGCATAGATTCAGATCATTCACTTATTTCTATGACACTAGCTCTATCTGAAACACAAAGAGGAAAAGGTTTTGGAAATTCAACAATTCTTTATTACAAGATCCAAAGTATGTACAATTAGTCAAGGAAACTATTAAAAGTACGTTGAACAAATATAAACACAAAACAGAAGACCAAATTCCAAAATACCAAATTAATGATCAACTTCTATGGGAAATGATTCTTATGGAAATCAGAGGATTAACAATTTACTATACATCAACTAAGAGGAAAAAGATAAGAGCAGAATCAATGAACTAGAAACATTATTGCATGATTTAGAGATAGAACTGGATAACAATGACAGTTTACAGGCCAAAGAAGAAATTTTTAAAAAGAATAAATGATATAAAAACTGAACTTAATGAATTTGAAACAAATAAAACAAAGGGGGAATTTATTAGATCAAAAGCAAAATGGACAGAACTGGGAGAAAAACCAAGTAGATACATTTTAAACTTGGAATTTAGAAATTTTCTCAACAAGTCTATATCAGAAATTAAAACCCGATGGATCAACCATTAAAGATCAAGAAGAAATACTAAAAGAAACACAAAGCTTTTATAAAAAAACAATATAAAAATGAAAACTGCACACAAATTAATCTTGATTCTTTGTTAAACAAATACAATATACCAAAACTAAATGAAGACAGTGCCGCAACTTTAGAGGGAGAACTAACATATGAGGAAACCCTAGAAGCATTGAAAAAAATGAAAAATGAAAAAAGTCCCGGACCAGACGGTTTTACAACAGAATTTCTAAAATTCTTCTGGATAGACTTGAACAAATTCTTGATAAATTCGTTAAATTATGCATATCAAAACCAAAATCTATCAGTTACCCAGAAACAAGGATTAATTACATGCTTACCAAAAGAAAACAAACCAAAACTATTTTTTTAAAAATGGCGGCCAATTTCTCTTCTTAACGCATCGTATAAAATTGCATCAGCGGTTATAGCTAATAGAATGAAGAAAGTATTACCACTAATAATAAATGATGATCAAAAAGGCTTTGTACAAGGAAGATATATTGGTGAGGTCACAAGGCTGATAAACGATTTAATGGAGTACACATAATCTTATCAAATACCAGGACTATTAGTCCTAATAGATTTTGAAAAGGCTTTTGATTCAGTTGACAGAAACTTTATACTAAATGTGTTAAGATTCTTTAATTTTGGACCTAGTTTTCAGAAGTGGATCAGACCTTTTTTTAAAGATATGCATTCAAGTGTATTTGTAAATGGATTTGCTATCACCTTTTTTCCTATAGCCAGAGGTTGTCGCCATATATTTTTGTCTTATGCGCAGAAATTTTAGCTATACTTATCAGAAATAATAAAAATATAAAAGGTATTAAAAAGGGAAGTATTGAATATGTTCTTGCACAATTTGCTGACGATACTTCTTTATCCTTGGACGGCACTGAGAGTAGTCTATATGCCTTGTTGAACATTTTATCCTTTTTGCAAGGTTTTCTGGCTTGAAAATTAATGCTGACAAGACAAGACTGATCTGGATAGGTTCAAAGAAAAGATGTAGATATAAACTCTGTAAAGACTGGAACTTAGATTGGACTCAAAGTGACTACAAGGTACTGGGTATTACGTTTGATGTAGACCTTGACAAAATGGTGAAATTGAACTACGATAATAAGTTCAAACAGATAGAGAAGGAAATGAAATTATGGTCAATAAGAACACTTACCCCAATCGGTAGAAATGTTGTTTTGAAATCACTACTGCTTGCAAAATTAAACCATTTATTTTCCTCAATTCCATCACCCCCAGATGAAATAATAAATCAATTTCAACAAGCCTGCTTCAAATTTGTATGGAAAAACAAACCAGACAAAATTAAAAGAGACGTTTTAGCTATGCCACCTGATTACGGAGGAATTAGTGTCCCACTCATTAAGAATAATATTTATGCACATAAAATAGCATGGATAAAAAAATTATATTCCAGTAACTGCAAATGGAAATCATTAGTGGATAACTGTATACCTAACTACGGAAGACTTTGGTTAGCTGATCCTGAATATTTTGAAAACATATAAAACCATACATAAGAAATCCATTTTGGAGAGATGTAATTTCTGCATGGGGATCATATTTACAAAAGCATTATAAGATAATAAACCCAAATGATATGTTAAACCAATGTATTTGCTTTAATTATATGTTTAGCATAGGTAACGAAACAAATTTTATAAACAATTGTTACAATGCAGGAATACACTTTATATCTGATCTAATGAACCCAACCACAGGGGAATTCTATACTTATGAAGAACTACAAAAAATATATCAAGTTAAAACAAATATCTTAAGATATCACAGTATTAAATCTTCCATAATTGCCTGCTTAAAGAGAAGACAAATCACTCTACCTAAAACACTCCCATTCTCACCAATACTACCATTTAATATATCCAAACATAATCTAAAGGTCAAAGGCACCAAAACCTTCTACCTCTCTTTACTGGACTCCAACTACAACAAGTCATATCCACATTAAAAGTGGGAAAGAGTCTTTGAAACACAGTATGATAACACAATGCTTCGAAATATATATATGATGGCAAAATGTAGTAATTTGAAATGGTTACAGATGAAGATATTGTATGATATTATACCTACAAATATTTTCTTAAATAGGATCGGTCTAAAGGACACACCTTTATGTACATTCTAGTCAAAGGAACTAGAATCAATTGTCCATCTACTCTGTAATTGTTGTCATGTTAAAAAGATTTGGGAGAGTTTGACCAGATGGCTAATGACTGTAACTGAAGGTAACATTGACTTTACACCAGAAAACATTTTACTTGGATTTAAAGGGAAAAACAATAATTCTTTAAATGCAATATGTCTTGTTGTGAAACAGGTAATATACACAAAAAAATAAAAGAACAAGTTGCAAGTTTCAAACATGTAGTAAGCGAGGTATCAAAATACTATGAAATTACAAAATATAATGCGTACTCTACATGCAGCAACAGTGAGTTTTTTACCTTCTGGTCATCTTTCCACAATCTATTTACAGAAAATACTAGGTCAGAAAACATATAATAAATGTATTTAATTACTATTATTAGTATTGGAATTACTGAGATAACATATTCAAAGACGTTTATTCATTGTATGAAGGGGATTTGTGAAAGTGTATTGAATAAACTTGATATATTGTATATGAATATCTGTATGAATATACTTATGTGAATGCATTCTTCATGTACTATGTAAAATGTGGAAATAAAGATGTTAAAAAAAAATTTTAATAAAAAAGAAAGTAAGATGCAGCACATATCTGAGCCTGTTTTCTGATAACCTTACAATATCGTGCTTGGATAATTTGATCGGAGAGGCTTTAGGTAAATAGTACTCTGAAAATGGTAAACTGCAAAGCCCTAACCTTCAAACCAATATGTTTGCCAAGCCATGAGGACGTAGAAGCGAAACTGATTTGGAAACTACTTCACAAAATCATTTAGGAGATAGTTTCTAGCTTTAGTCACAGTGCCGAGAGGCTTTGGAGTTTATGTGATTTGCTTCCTGATGCTGATACGTTTTTCATTAGATTCTGGCCTCATGTTCAATTATGACTGAGGCAAAATGTTGTAGAATAAAAGATTATTCTAATGCTATAGCTAGACAGAACAATTACAGATGCACTACACAGATTTTTAGGCTTGGATTCTGTCTCTCTATCTAAATATGTGTGTTTACAATTATGATTCGCATCTTAGAGTACGTAGATAAGTACAAAGGTAACTGACAGTACGTGTAAATACTTTGAATGCATTAAGGAGCATGTACCTGCAAGCATACCAGGTTTTATCACAGCATCAACAGACCCTACATCATTACAAACCCCTGTCCTCTGATTACAAGCTACACAATCCCCACTGCATGTGTACTGACAGTGACTCCCGTATGCCCCGTCTTTACACCCACGACTACAACTACCGTCTACCTCACATACACCATCCAGACACGAGCCACAAGCCTCGTCACATCTCTTTCCGAACCATCCATCAGTACAGGCTGGACACCGTCCATGGCGGTCACACACATTGTCTCTACAATGGAGACATTTCTTGTGGCAGTGTTTCCCATAGTACCCTGGAACACAGCCCTCCAAGCACGATCCATCATGGCTGTAACACAGGGAAGACTTGCAGGAGATACTACACGGGGTGTTACAGTGTAACCCGTGCCACCCAGTCTCACATCCTTCTTGACAAACTGCAGTATGTCGGTTCACAGTGCTTGTGTCCATCGCCTTTGTAGCACTTCAAGGGCACGTGTTACTGCAGCGTGTCCATGGTAACCAGGCTGACACTGTTCACATACCCCAGTCTGTCTGTCACAACCAGTGGTCCAGCAATGTTGACATCTGTCTTCGCACTTCTGTCCATAGAAGCTTGCTTCACATCCATGTAGACAGTACCCCGTGATGCTGCACCTTCCCATCAGACAGTTGTCACATGTCGTGTTACAGAAGTTCCCTGTCCATCTTCCATCACACCCATCAAGACATTCTCCTGTCTGTATGTGACAGACTGATGCCTTGCAGTTGGGAGGACATCGTCCAACACAATGTGCCCCGGTCCATCCTCCACCACAAGATTCAGAACAAGCACCTGTATGTCGGTCACAGTAGACAGCGCCACCTACCGGAAAGCTGGAACATCGTGGTGGACAGGGTGTGTCGCAGTGTCGTCCATAGAACCCTGGCCTACATGAAAAACATTCTCCAGTGGACCTGTCACATCCGTCTCCGTCACAACGTCCTTGGCATGTAGAGCTGCACTTTGATCCGTGACACCCGGGGTTACATGACTGACATCGAAGACGACCATTCCCATGTCTACACCCAGTGGTGTTACACGAGTCGTGACTTGGGTGCTCTGAAAAAATTTATGTTGTATGTTAAAAATTAGAAGTGTCAGAAAAAATAACCCGTATTGTATTTAGGAAACTATATGAATATGACAAATTTAACTTCCACAAATTTCAGTTTCGTTTCATTTTTAATCCATTAACCATGGTGAATACAATTCCATTGTATCATTATATACATGTATTTACCAAGAGAGTGTGTCACAGCAAGCAGGGCAGAGATCAGCACCACAAGCGACAGGATCTGTCCGCCTTTCATTGTTCCAAGGGACACGTGGTCTACTGATGAAAACAGATATAAGGATTAAAAGATAACTGGATTACCTGAAGGGAAAGCAAGTTTGTTTCTTAACAAGCAATAGTGGACTAAGTGGAGAAGAATGCATGATCTCTAACTACGTTACAAGCTGTAGCAATATCACAGATGTAGACATGCTTTTATGCGTCCAGTGGTAGGTTGTATACAATGTCTGCATGAAGACTTCTATAAGAGTCAATAGAAGTTGGAGCACTAAGTACCTACCTGATAACGCTGTGGAAAAGCAGTACATACTGGTAACAGGCTTGTAAAAGGAATCCCATGGCGGGGTCTACTCCTGTTCCCATATAGGCACACTGTTACACTTGAATGTAAGTTAGTTTTCCAAAAATAACGTATGACAAAACTATGGAATCCTGGATGGGACATTGTCGCGTTATGTAACTTATGTATTGGTATCGGTAGAATTTTGTGCACGTTGTCATATTATGTAGTATTTGAGTCTCGAAGGCATTGTTTGTTATTTTCAAGTCAATGCTTACCGTTAGTATGCCAGTATTTATGTGGAGAATGTATGTTTTGTTTCGGTTTTGTGTCGTTTGTGAGATGTTTGTGATGATCTACGAACGAACTTCGGTTATTGAATGTTGACTCCGAAGAGACACTCGGAAAGATTTAATCCGACTACTTTACACTCAAGGTTTTCTTTAATCTATACTTTTCCAAAAACTTATCTAAATAGCTTCTTTCGGTTACCCAGCTGGTTAGGGGTAATGTCTTTTATTTACTAATCACTGAATCAGTGTTTTTCTATTACAGTGGTACTCGATTATTTTCCGGTTAGTGATATTTATGTTACAAATCATGAAATGATATTCGTTAGTTTAATAGAATCAAAGTATCACGTTTTCCTCTAATAAACAACCCAGCACATATTCTATAGATACAGTGTTGCATACTGTAACAAATATATTGACATACTATGTGATAACATGCATTTGATAAAGTGTTTCAAGTATAGCGAGCTAGAGTTAATGAAATGAGATTGCAACAAAATCAGGCCCTCCTATCTATTTGACGAAAAGGCGTTGAATGGGATTATAATGATGGCACATTGGTAGCATAACTTCCGTATTGCAATCTAATGCATTTACTATACGAACAAAAAGAGGTTCTATCGGATTTGACAGCGGCCGTTAGTGGAGTACGTGTACAGAAAATACTATGTGTGAAGTGTCGACATATGACTTCAAAACTGATTTTAGGGACCGTTCATAATTTATGCCTAGTGGGGGTGATGATGATATTTATGAAGAAGCATGTACAATGTGAATGACACTGCCCCACCCACCCGTAAAATTTATGTACAAAGTAAGGGACGCCTCGTTGATGTCATGTACAAATTGCTGATCTCCCTTCTAGTACATGTGCACAAAATTGATGACCCCACCTCCCCCAGAAGAAAATGGATGGAACAACAACCCCTACCCCCTTTAAAATCATCAACATCCCCCCTATCCATAAATTATGAACAGTCCCTTATAATGTAAAGAACAGTTAAAGCTATAGTTTGGCATGAAATGCATGTGAACCCGTTTTTTTGTAAATATCTCTTCATCCAATGACCCAATCGATCTCAAACTGTGCAAGTGGATGTTTTGTCAGACAACCTAATCACATTGTAAATCACCGATTTTATGCATTTGTATTAAAGAATCTGTCTATGTAACTGTCAACAAAATAAACAGCAGAACGCAGACGACTTGCAGAGGGAGGGAGCCAATGACCTGTAACAGCGGCAGTGTTGGGTCAATATTCCAGCAATGTCATGTTGGCAGCCACCAGAAATGGGGTTCACGTATACTACCCATGTGGGGAACACCATCTTAAAGACGGACTAAGTGCTGATATATTGTTCCAGGACATTCCAAGCCAGCTCAAATTTCATGATTGATGAACCGGTAAATTTGGCAGTGCAGAAATGTTTCAATTTCTCCTGGCAGTAATTACAGTTGTATACCCAACCTCAACTCACAAGGGCATGTAGATTTAGATAATAGCCCCTTTTAAATTTCCCCCTACCCATACAATCACAGTTTACATAGCTCTAGGTTAAATGTAGATTATATCTGTTAGCGTGCGTGAGCTGCAGAGGTGATCGCTGAGATGAGACAATCTTCTATCAAGGTCACCATTATCTATCACAGTGTGGCAATTTACCATGAAAATTCTCTTAAGCAAGTGCTTAGAATTTGTAATTAAATTCACTATTGCATCATTCAAATGAACATACTTTATTTAGAAACCTTTGAATATCTGTTTAAGCCATATATACAATGTGGACTATATTGAGAACTCTGCTCCACTAAGCCCCATCTTCACACGGCCATGACCTACTTCTAGAATCGTTAAATAATTCTCAGAGATAGCCAAACTAAGATAAAATGATTAAATGAAAGTCCATATTGTGCATATTACATTGTTTTTACAGAAAACAGTAGAAAACTATTATTGAAAAATGTACAGTTTTCCCAATGTTTGAACTATGTTTGTTCACCACTTGAATTCCAAAACCAACTTCAACCATTTGTGTTTCAATAAGTACCCATGATTATCTATTTTTGAAAAGCACAAGGTGTTAATAAGGTCAAATACTCCACATATGTCACATCCAACTTTACAGCAAGTTATAATTTATGGATATAATGACTTCGACTTGTTGGCTCATTGTGTTGCTTTCAACCTGTTATAAGTAAAGCATGTGATACTATTGTGGAACAGTTTTTAGTTTTTCTCATGCATGGAATAACTTCTTTATATCCCCATTTGCTATAAAATATGAATGGTTCAAAAGTAGATATGTTTTGATTTTACTTTTCTGCTTCCTGTACAACAGTAATGGAAAAAACCTAGTTACTTCTGCACAGAGCAAATCATTCGAAATTACTCTCCTGAAAGGAATGTTGAACTTCAGTGACACACCTGTTTAACTGATTTTTGTCTTAATCCTTACCTGATAACACTTTTCCATAACATTTTCGATTTTGTTGATAACAATATCATTTATTATACTGAAGATTAAATAACGTACTTAGTACCTAGTACTTGAAACTGCAAATTATAATCTGGCTAAAGCCCCACCCCTTCAACATCCAACTTGTCATTCCACCCGCCCATCAAACACATCGTGGAACCGGTATGGGGGATTAGGGGGGATATTGGGAGTTAAGGAGGGGTAGGGTGGGTGAGACGCGACGCGACGCGACCCACCCCGTAGTGATTTCATAACACCAGGGCAGCGAGGGTTACGTGGGGACACTCATACCTGCTTGTTCACACGTTGGCAGTTGTAATGTTTAGCTGGCTACCGTGCTCCGCATCATGTAATATTCTGTCTGGGGTTTTCTAACGCGGAATGCAGTTTAGAAATGAACTTACCTATTTCCCAACCATTCGTGGAAGTCTATCTTGCCAGCAGTAGAGTCAACTTGGAAATTGGGGAATACATCGCCGAGGTTCACCATTTGATCCGACAGTTCGACCGGTCTGATTGAGAAGAGCAAGTTGCCGGGTCTGATAGAGAGTGCGCAATGCGCCTAGATAGTGGAGATCTAGTTTAGAGTATGACCTGTCCGTCTTGCTCTGATTACAAAAGGATGTGTTTGCGCAGTTTTTTTGTGGACGCCTTGATGATTTGAATTCAATACGAAGTGGGATGCGGGTTAACGAAATAGGGTGCAGGTTAACGAAATAGGGTACGGGTTAACGAAGTGGGGTGCGGGTTAAACGAAGTGGGTGCGGGTTAACGAAGTGGGGTGCGGGTTAACGAAATAGGGTGCAGGTTAACGGATTGGGGTGCGGGTTAACGAAGTGGGTGCGGGTTAAACGAAGTGGGGTGCGGGTTAATGAAGTGGGATGCGGGTGCACAGGGGCGTGTAACGCTAAAAACTGCTATCAAGGTATATACTGTCACTGACGAGGTCTAAATACTATATAAAAGGATACTAATTAAGACCCCGTCAGTGACAGTATATACCTTGATGGCAGTTTTTAGCGTCAATACAAGCCCCTGTGCGCGGGTGAACGAAATGGCATATGAGTGAACGAATGTTTAATAAATAATATGTCCATACATTTATTTTCACCTTAGTTTATTATAGACAGTGCCACTTAAGTTGTGTTCGTATAGACCGTCATGATAGTGTCTTTTCACCGAAGCGTCATAAAACATCTTCTACACTTCATTCCTGCAGATAAGCAGGCAGTCGGCTCTCAAACAATAATTATTAATTTAAATCATAATTTCAAAATTATATAAATAAAAAAGGGACATTTTGTACTCATAACGGACTGCATGGAGTCCTTCTCTGTCACCATATCTAGCTTGTGTAAGGATAGAATAACTTTACATCCGCGGACTTGTCATTCAGTGAAGCCTTGAAGCTAGGGCAGTCCTACAGGAATGAGTACTGTGTGTTGTAGCACCGCAGTCCACAATATTCTAGTCTGCCTTTCCAGCCCTGAACCACATGTTCCCTTCCGCCAAACCCGTTCTACTATGCAAAGGCCCCACACTAATAAAGCAAGTCTTGTAACCGTCGGGTTCTTAAGCAACCTTAGTCAAGCAACATACCATCATAGCGGTCTGTACATACAAAGTTTCAACCGCCTCCATGGTGTAGTGGTTAGAGCGTCCGCCCGGAGAGCGGAAGGTCGCGGGTTCGATCCCCGATCGCGTCATACCAAAAGACGTTAAAATATGGTACTTGTTGGTCCCTGTCTGGCGCTCGGCATTAATGGGTACAACAAGGACTGGTCGGCTCGGAGTCAGTATAATGTGTCTGAGTGGGGTATTCATGCTTCTACTGCGGCATGGTATCTCTCAGTGTATAAAACCAGCTAGTCTGGGCTAGTACAAGCAGCCGCACATACACATACACACGCATGCACGTCGTCATATGAGCGAAATATTCTCGAGCACGACGTTAAACCCAATTTCACCTCACACATAAAAGATTCGAGACTAACCACTGACTGTGTTGTAAGGGGTGGAATAGTCCTAAAATGACGTCATCATCGAACACCTGGCTGACCTCATTTCACAGGGGTGTCAATGACCGTGGGATCCGGCGTCACATCACACCATGACATCACGCCATTAATTTGGACCAATCAGCATACAGCCAACTCACTCCGGTGTGACTCACCCTGACCGAGGGGTCAATGACCGCGCGCCCCGTGGGAAACACATCATAGCATCACACCATGACATCACGCCATTAATTTAGGCCAATCAGCGTAGAACAACTATCGGGGTTCACTGGACCACTGACCACAAACTAGTTTCGTCCGGTTTCAATTTTACCTATTAAAAAAACCCTCTGACAGTCAGTTGAAGTTATCATTTTGTCCTCTTACAAAATGTTTATATT